CTGGGGTCAGACTGCATGGATCGGAGTGCTAGCCCTGCTGCTCTCCAGCTGAGGACTAGCTACTGAACCTCTCTGTGCCTCAGTCTCCTCGCCTGTCAAAAGGGGTCCACAGGGACTCCCTCCTGGGGTCGTGGGGAAGACGAGCTGTGAGCAGGTGCGGACTGTGACTCGAACAGTGGGTGTGGGGTGAAGACTCCCTGGTGTCCCTAAGTGGTGCAAAGAGTGTGTGCACTGCCCCCGCCTGGCCCCTGCCTCACCAGCTGCTCACCAAGCACTTGAGGGTGGGCGTCCACCCTGAGTGGCCGCAGAGGAAAGGCCTGGTGATCTACTGAAAAGTCAGCACTGAAAGCCCTCCAGAGCACAGTGCTTGTTGGTGAGCCTTAGTGAGAGGAAGTCTGAGGACTTAGGGGGTACAGAAGGATGTGCACTTGACCTTAATCCCCACCCTGTGAGGGGTGACCCTGTGATACCTACTCCTCTGATGGGGTCTCCACTGAGGGGCTGAGTGGTCCGGGGATGCGGGCGCTCCCTGGGCACGGACCATCTCAGAGTTCCTCCCCACCGCTCCTCCGAGGTTCTGCAGTGGCCCTCTGCCCTCTGAGTGCTCCCCAACCCCCTCCAAGCACCGCTTGTTCTTTTCCTCCCGGGGCTGAGAGAATGGCAGGCTGCCCAGCTGGGCGGGCACAGGGCCCAGCTCCTTGGTTGGTGTGTGTGTGTGTGTGTGTGTGTGTAGGGGAGGGTGCAGGTGAGGATGGACAGTTCGGATCACAGAGCTGCGAGCTCTACGGAGATGGCCGGCCCGTGAGCCACTCCCCACACCCCGAGTCCTGAGGACGTTTGGCTCAGAACCACGCCCAGCTTGCAACGCCTGACCCACCCTAAGGGAACCTTCCTCCACCGACCCAAGGAGCCTGGGAGAAAGCAGAAGGCTCAGGTGAGCTCCGTTGGAGGCACTGGGTGTGGCTGGGCTCAGTGAGGTGGGAGGAGCCAGGGGTGCTCAGCCAGAGGCAGAGAGCAGATGGGAAGGGGGAGATATTTGTGCCTCTCCAAGGAGGAGAATCTCATGGCTCAGTCTCTGTGCTCACTGCTGCCCAGTATCCAAGCCCCCTTCCCCAGACCCTACCATCTGGGGGCTTGGAAATCCCAAAGGGAACAAGCAAAGTGTGAGGACTGGGAAAAAGTTATGGACAGTAGAGCCTCCCCCCAAAAGCACACATTGGGTGATGATGCACAGGGGATGTGGGGGCCGGGGATTATGTGGGGGCACTCAGCGAGCCTGCTTTCATAAACCCCCAGGGACTATCTTCTCAGTGAGGGAGGGAGCAAGGGGACCAGGGTGGGGAATGGACAAGACACAAACCCATTTTACCTACAGGTACTCACCATGGCCAGCACCCTGGAAATGCTCTGGAATAAATACACCTGGGCCTTAGAAAACGGAGGTAGGAGATGGGATCCTCCCTCTAGACCAGCGGTTCTCAGCCTGTGGGTCGAGACCCCTTTGGGGGGGTCGAACAAGCCTTTCACGGGGCTCACACGATTCATCACCGTAGCAAACTGGCAGTGATGAAGTAGCAACGAGGAACTGCATGGAAGGGCCACGGCTTTAGGAAGGTGGAGAACCGCTGCTCTACACCTTCAGATAGATCTTCTTGTCAGACAGTGTGGGGGCCGGGGACAGTGTCGAGCACAGGTCTTGGGCTCTGGCTGTGGATGAGGGCAAGGGGGCAGCTGGGCTTGGTGGGCAGTGGGGCTGTCACCCTCTCCCCTTTACTTCCTTAGACCCCAGAACGGACTCCTGGTTTCTGGTGTCCTCGCCACTCCCTGTCGCACTCCTGGTTGTCTTCTATCTCCTGATGGTGGTGGCCGGCCCTCGATTTATGGCCCGACGGGAGCCCCTGAGGCTGGCAGGACCCCTCACTGCCTACAACCTGGGCCTGGTGGGTCTCTCAGGGTACATCTTCTATGAGGTAAGGAGGGTGAGAGAAGCCTGAAGTGTTGAAGTGGGGCGTCCAAGAACTAAGAAGTCCACGTGAGATTACTCAACAAGCACCAGGAGCTCAGGCTGACTTTGCGCAACGGGTTCCCCCCTCCGGTCGTTGATGTTAGAGGCCGTCCGGTTGGGTCTCACCCCTGGGAGGCCCGTCCACACCAGAATGACGCCCTGCCCGGCCCCACTCCTTCCTCACAGTGGCTGTTTGCACCCTTGTGTCAGTCACAGTGCCGAGCCACCTCCTGGATGGTCGTGCTCTTTCCCATGAGCCCTCTCCTCTGCCAAGCAGGATGCCCTTCCCTTGCTAGAGACCATGCACGAAGATGCTGAGTGCACAAAGGGGCTCATGCCAACCATACCTGGAAGCCAAATCTTTGGTGTGAAAAAATAAAACCAGGGGAAATGTCACTCCCCAGATCAGTAAGTAAG